CTCGAGGCCGTGAATCCTTTATAATTTATTTGGAGGTGCTTGGTGACGCTAGTTGTGGAAGGCTTTTTCATTTCATACGAGGATGGCACACAGGAGACAAGGACGAAAGAGAGCGACGCCTCGCCAAAAGAGCGGCTGCTGGAACGTTGGCAGGACTCGGGATTGTCTGCACGGCCAGCTGCTTGCCCTCTGCAGGATGTTTCTTGAGGCGTTCATTGGCGCGGGAGTGAGGTGCACACAAGGGTAGGCACCGCAACAACCGTGCCATTACTTCTCCGTTGCACGAATGACACGACGCACATCAGGCATGGCAGGTGACGTCCCCTGCGAACCTCCTCCCACCGCCTCTTCTGTTTCACATCTTGGCATTTTCTGCGCTCTGAAAACCGCTCCCATTGGCCGTCTTCTGTGACACGAGAGCCGCTTGTATTCCTTTCTACCGCATTGCAGAGTCGTGAGGAGGGCTTGAGGCTGCGTTGAGGAGCCGTGTGGTCTCTGCGAGCATTTCCTCTGTTTTTTATAGGTGTTTGCGTTTGGATTACCGAAACGCACCTTGAGTGCCTGCGTTAGAGGCACACATAAATGAGAGGCAAACGTGTTTGTGGAGGTGCAGGAGGGCCACGCCATTGGGAGGAGGAAGAGTGAATGGGTGGGTGGGTGGTGTCTGTGGCCCACATGTGGTGCCTGACTGGTGATTCGCGTTGTTTGGTGTTATTATCATTTGCATTCACAAGGGATGGCTTTGGCTGCAGCACCCACGAGCTCTTCTGTCGTTGACTGAGGTTTCTCTAGTGCTGCTTCTCCCAACTCTCTTACTGTGTCTGTGTGTTGTATGATAGTGAGCATGGCTCTTCTTCCGTGCTGTGCATTTGCTGCGCAAGCGGCAGATGGTCTGTGTGAAATATGTGATGATTTGCGGCATTTTGTTGGATTGTGCTTTGATGTTTGCCGCGGGGTGACAGCCAGATTGGAGTCGTTGCTTTTTCTTTACTGTGACCACGTGCGGTGTTTATGGGAGGCCTCTCGGGGAAGCGCCAGCCGACATTCTTGTGAAGCCCAGGCATGATGCCACACTGCTTATTGACGTGGAATGAGTTGAGGGTTTTGCATATTAGCTCCTGTGCACTTGCCGTGGTGCTCCTCATGCACAGCCCATGGAGATGACTGGTTGGGAATTGTCAATGGGCTTTTTGTTGAGTCGAGGGGCGCATAGCGTTTTGCTCGCTCATTGAGAGCCCGGGGGTCACGGATGATGCATGGGGCAGGCAGAACCTCGTGCATGGCGTAAGGAGGAGACTAAGGGCTGGTTGTTTGATTGTTAGCGACGAGTCCTGTCTCACTGCTTGGAGGGGGCTGTCGTTCGCTGGAGCAATTAGTTTTGTGTGTCCAGACGCCGCTTGCGCCGAGTAGCGGGGTGCCGTGTTGGTGTGTGCGGCGGCATCATGCGGGGCGGCTGCGTGGCGTTTACGGACTGTGTGGCTGTGGGTTGATGCATGTGGCGGGAGGCGTGTCTGAGGAGAATCTGTGAAAGGAGGAGCGAAATGCGTTTGGCGGTGCTGCTGTTCGAAGTGCGAGGGAGGAAGAAACACAAGTGATTTCTGACATGCCGGTAAGTGTGCCACGGCCACCGATGAGTTCTCAGGGAGAGGGACAGGAGGGAGGGAGGACGGAGACTGTGCGCATCCGCTGCGATGTGTGGTGCGACAGGATGCGATTGCCATTGTGAAGGATGTGACGGCCGTCACGCGTGCAGCAGAGCGTCACCTGCATCTTTTTTTCTGCCGAGCTTGCTGGTGCCGCGAGGAGGTGCAGGTGACCTCTCATCATTGGGCTGCTGAGGCCGTTTTTCCTCTCTGCTCGGCGGGAGAAGCAACTCTTCTTGCAGGCGCTGTGCTGTTCTGCATCGATACTCCCCACGGGGTGTCACGCAGACGTGTCGTTGCAGTGCCACTCGCATTGTGGTTTTATTTTCACTAATTGGCTTAGTGTGCAGTGCAACGCTCGTACCCCTCACTGCACACGTGGCCCCCTCTCATTTTTCTTTTTTTTGCAGGGCCATTGCCCGCGGTTCCCAACTGGAAGGCTGCTCGCTTTTTAAATACTTTATATTTATTTATGCTGTTGGGGGTACTGGGGAGTAATGGCTGCGGGGATGGTGCCACTCACTGTGGATGGGTGACGGTGTGTGCTGTTGTTGTGCTGCCTTTCTTCCGCTGTTGTTTGTTGCTCCCCTCCAAGAAGGAAGTTAATCCCAAGCGCGAATCGCTACTGTGAAATTATAAGGCACTGAAAGGACCAACAACAGCACACACACACCGCCCACACACATATTTATATTTATATGCTCTCACGTGTTGCTGCAGTGAAGGCAACCCGCACACACAACCGTCGCCGCGTGACCGGATTCACCGGAAGGAGGAGGGAAGGAAGAGAGAGTGAGCCGCAGAGGCCCAACATGTCCCGGCGTGTGTTTACTTCTGCGGTGCTGCTTCTCCTTGTCTTGATGATGTGCTGCGGCAGTGGAGGTGCACACGCTGTGGAGAGCAAGCCAGGGGGTGTGCAGCTGCCTCAATGGGTCGATATTTATCTGCCAGAGAAGACGCAGGTGTTGCCAAAAGGTGGGAAGGTGGAGTGATGGATTCGTTTACTTCACCCTCTCTTATCCGTGCTGGTGGAGTGATGGCTGTGCTTGCTGAGGGTTCCATGCCACATGTTTTTTCCGGTGGTAAAAAATACAGGTTGTTAAATCTGATGTTGTTGCGGTGTACGTCAATTCTTCGTGGGGTTTGTTGTCTCTTGCCGCTGAGGTCGATAATGGCACATTGAGGGTGCACACCGTGCTTGGTACAACGGATGAAATGGGAAGTGTGAGTACTGTGTCCAGTCCTAAAAGCGTTTCGCGGGGCAATAAGGTTTTTCTAATTGCGGGAAGCCAAAAACTGCACTGTAAGAACGCGAAGGAGAGTGTGCTGGGTGACTTGGATATTCAACTGGTTGTAGGAGAGGCGACGCAGTCCCCGGACGGCAAGCAGAGTGGAATGATCAAATGGGGTGATCCAAAACCGCTGTTAAAAAAGGAAGCCCTACAGACTGAGGATAAAGTCAATTATTTTTTCCCCGGTGCTGGCTCTGGTGTTCTGATGGAGAATGGCATGCTTGTGTTTCCTGTGGAGGGAGTAAAGATGATAAATCTGTCTCCATGATCGTCTATTCGACGGACAACGGCAGCAGTTGGGTGCTCTCTGAGGGCATGTCCCCTGCGGACTGTCTTGAACCCCTCGTCACCGAATGGGAGGGATCATTTCCCATGATTGTTGATTGTGAACGTTCCCAGAGGGTGTACGAGTCGCGTGACATGGGGGAAAAGGTGGACGGAGGCTGTTGGGACACTCCCAGGCGTGTGGTTCAAGTCACGACCAAGAGCTCCCTGAGACGAAAAGTTGCATTTGGAAGCCCCCATCACCGCGACCATTGATGGAAGGAAGGTCATGCTGTACATTCAGAGAGGGTACCCCACGCAGGAGCAAAAGGACAAGGCGCTCTGCCCTTGGGTCACGGACAACAACCGCACGCTTCACATTGGACCGGTTTCTGTGGACAGTGTTATGAATAAGACGTTTGACAACACCCTGCTGTACTCGGATGGTAATTTGTACATTGCACAGGAGAATTATATGGCGACGCACAGGGGCATTCCACTTGCCCGCCTGACGGAGGAGCTGAAGACGATCAAGTCCGTCCTCAGTACTTGGGCACAGTTGGACGCCTCCTTCTCCGCTTCGTCCACACCCACGGCTGGTCTGGTTGGATTCCTGTCCAATTCGGCCAATGGTGAGACGTGGATCGACGGTTACCGTTGCGTGAATGCATCCGTGACGAAGGCAGCGAAGGTCAAAAATGGTTTCAAGTTCATGGGGCCTGGATCCATGGCAACATGGCCCGTGAACAGCCGGGAGGATAACAGACAGTACAGCTTTGTGAACCACAGATTCACCCTTGTGGCGACGGTGACCATTCACCAGGTTGCGAAGGGGAGCACTCCTCTGCTGGGTGCGAGTCTGAGGGGCAATAAGAGGACGAAGATCATTGGGCTGTCGTACAGCATGAATAAAACGTGGGAGACAGTGTTCGACGGCACAAAGACAGCAAAGGACACCACTTGGGAGCCGGGGAAAGAACACCAGGTGGCGCTCATGCTTCAGGACGGCAACAAGGGCTCTGTGTACGTGGATGGTGTGATTGTGGGGAGCTCAGAGAATATAACGAAACTTGGGGCGCTGGGACATGAAATCACACAATTCTACATTGGGGGCGACGAGGGAGACATCAACAGCAGCGATGTGACGGTGACGAACGTCTTTCTGTACAACCGCACACTGAGTGTCGATGAACTAAAACTGGTCAGGAAAAGCGACGCCAAAAAAGGTAAAGGTGACGGCTCCATGCGTGGGGGCTTGTCGCAGTTGCTGCTGTGCGGCTTTTTAGCCCTTTACTGAGGAATCGCAGTGAGGACTTCCTGCTTCCAGCGGGAACATATGCGTCTGGCCACGCACTCTTTTAAATAATTGCCACTTTTTGTGAACACTTTGTTTTGACCATTTTATTTTACATCCCCTTCGCTGCGCAGAGCTCTTCCTCCATGTGGAAGCATGCTCTCCCCAGCGCCAGCACCGCGTTTTTTCGTGTTTTTTTTTTTTTTTTTTTGTGGTCCGACAATTACGGGATCTACTGAGTGTTTGTTTGTTTGATTGACCAGAGACGCTCCCGGCATTGTGTGCCACGCCGATGGCGCCGGCTAATAAAAGAGACAATGGAATGGGGGCACGAAACCACGCCGAGTGTCCCAGTGGAATATAAATAATGTTTGGGCACCGGGTGTTTAAACGACTGGAAGGAGTGTAACGTATTTATTTATTTTTTATCTGCAGGCGAGACATACGCACCGATTTGGAGGCCACGCACCAGCGTGCAGTTTTTTCTTGTTTTTGAGTGAATGCATAATGGAAGACGAATACATCTTTGTCTTTTTACTTTCCAGCATGTGTGCCGCGGCTTGCCACAGCGTGGGCAGCCGTGCAGTGTTGCGTTTCATCATTCATCCTGTTTGTCTTTTTTGTTTGACGCCCCGTTGTGGTTGTGTGTGCCCTCAGATGCTTTTTTCTTTTTCTTTTTGTGACCGTAGGCAGACACACAACGACAATTACACGATATATGTATTGCAGTGTACCCCTGCGATGAGGCCCGTACCTTTTTGCGGTGCTGGGGCTCTGGTTGCATGTAGGAACTCCGCTGCGGTGCATTGCTGCAAGCACGACAAAGACCAAGACGACTCTACTCCTCGAGAGGGTTCCACGCCATGCCCGGTGCGGGAGGTGAAGCGGTCTGCCTGCAGACTGTCGGACAAAACTGCACGACCGTTTCGCTGCGGTCATTCCGTTGATACCACCCGTGGCGGTGACGTCCACAAGAATTCCGGTTCCGAGGTGGATGGCTACATCACTATTTGGCAGCGTAACATTGCAGGCCTCTCGTCCGTAAAAAAGATTGCATTTGTTGTGCGATGAGAGCTGCCCCAACCTGACATCGTTCTTCTGCAGGAAATAAATAATCGAAGCGCCACGGCGGCAGAATTATCCGGCTGCAATGGCCTTCTTCAGGCCGCACTGGGTGCGGTGGTGACGTTGCCGTTCTGATGCGCCACTCTCTACCGTGCGAGCGCCTGTCGCTCTCTGGCACTGACCTCCTGGAGACCATTGCTGTCCGTGTATTTCCACAGTGCTGTCCCAGCACCTGCGTGGTGAACCTCTACAACCCTCCCACAGCAACCTTTAAGAGCTCTTCGTTTATTAGTACCATTCGTCGCTTAGGCCCCGCAGCGATTATCGCGGGTAAACTGAATTTACATCATGGACTCTGGGACAGACACCTACCCTCAACGACTGGAGGAGAAAACTTCGTTGCTATTTTAATTGATTTCAATTTTGAACTGGCAAATGACCCGGCGCAGGCAACACGGATCACACATCGTAATTTCCCGTCCCCTGACGTGACTGCGTATTGCGTGCTACGTGTCACCCACTGGCAATCTACTCCCTACATGGATTTGGACCACTGCTTAATATCTTACTTGGCAGGGATGGATGATGGCATTCCGCGACTAGCCAACACGCCGCCTCGACGGAAGAAAGCCACCTCTGCCCTGCGCAAAGCGGATTGGCCTGCTTTCACCTCGTTGTGTGAAACCCTTCTTGCCACCGCGTCCACATGGTTGGACATCCGCAGAGGTATCGTGCGAGCGGCTAAGCGCCATATCCCGTGCGGCAGCCGTGACAGCCCCAAAACGATATGGAGAAAGAAAATGGAACAAGCCGAGTCCGCCGCAGAAGCAGCACGCAAAGCACACACATCGCCTCAGCAGGAGACAGCCTGCTTCGAGCCGAATTAATCCAAAAAGTGGTGGTATAAAATCAAGCATTACGCCGTGGCTTCACTATGCTGTTGGAAGCTCGCGCGAAAAAACTTGGAGCTTCATCCAGCCCAAGCTGGCGATATCTTCATGGCGTGGCGGCGCCGCACCCTCATCCTCTGGAATTGGTTGTGCTCCGAACTGATCTTGGCCGCGTATGCGCTCTGCCTCGGCAACAGGCGAATCTGCTTGTCCGTCATTTTGTGCGGGTTTCACGTGCCACGTTACCCTATACTGCTGCTGCTGCTCGCCGCACTCCCTCGCCCCCTGGTGACTGGGAAATGGATCGGCCTCTCACGCCGTATGAACTTGACGTGGCCATCCGTGACTTTTCGTTCGGTCCAGCCCCTGGCCACGACAACATGTTGAATGAATTCCTGCACCATATTGGGCCCGTTGCGCGCGGCACTCTTAGAACTATGATCCACAGCTCCTTTGCAAATGACAGCCTGCCTGAAGACTCCATGAGCGGAAGTGACGACGGGGACTCTTCTTCACCGTCTGAGGCGGATATTTCTTGGTTGCCATTTTCTTCCGTGGTAAAAAAGAGTGATGGTGAAGACTCACTGGGGTCGTGATTGAGGGTGCTGCACATGACGGTAGAGGCAATTTTTATGGAACGAAACAACACCAAAAAGCAACAACAATGTTTTCCCCTTGTTTTTTCTTTCTCTCTATCTCACTATATATATATATATAGTGTGTGTGTCTGCGGCTTAGCTTCCTTTATATGGTTGGCCTTATCATTACTGTTACGGATGTCCCTCACGTGTGATATTATTATATGTATTTATATGCACATATTATTTTTTATGTCTGTTAATAAATGCAGTAGAAATAAAGTATGGCATAAGTCGATCAGGCTATCAGTATTAGGCGAATGGACGTCTGATAGCTCAATACAGAAGTGCGAAATATGTGAGGTCAAATTTAATTTCGGGTGCAGGCGTCATCATTGTCGGTACTGTGGCGGTATTTTCTGTGCGTCATGCTCGAGCTTTTTTGTTAAATTACAAAAGCTTCATGTAAATAAACGACGACGGGTGTGCCGCAAATGTTTTGAATTTCTTTGAAAGACACCGCAAGCTATAAATCCGTCCTGTGCTAGTGTTCAGAGCCACCATAAAGAGTTGAACAGTGTGAATGCTTGTAATTGCGAGTCCGATCGTTTGACTACTGAATCCGCCCAGGCAACAACTGTTGTCTCTTGGACGCCACGAAGAGAAGAAGATCGAAATACCGCAGGTACATTTCCCGACGAGGAGAATGCTGACGATGCTGATTTGGATGATGACGACGACGATGTTTCTGCTGCTGTTGCAGGTGTATATACTCCTCTATGGATGATGGCCAACACACCGGTAGCCTCCCCTTTCTTGCTGCACCGCAAGACAACCCTCAGTATTCAGAGGGCTCTGACGTAATTCATGTTCTTATTTATGTATCAGCCACGAGGTGTCAGGTGATTTTAGTTACGGTGAGTGATGGGGAAACCGTGTTGATGCTCGCTAAGCGTTTGGTGGATGTGCACTTCAGGTTGGACAGTGGATCTCTCAGGTCGATTAGAACGGCTGCGAGAGAGAATTTACTGCGAAAACTGAGTTTTCCAAGTGAATCCATTGTTATGGAGAATGAGGCTAATGCGAGTGATGTGGCATCTCATTGTAAACACTTGGTTCTCTCGACTCTGTCTGTTTCCGGGCTGCAACATGCGCACGATGATGATCCTATTGAGGGTGTTTTTTTTCCGTAGAGAACTCTGCAGTGAAAATAAGGACGATATGATATGTTATTTGTTGCCTTTTTATTTTTACTTTCACGTGTTTGTGTTTTTTAATTATTTCCGTGTGTGTTATTTGTTGGTGTTTTTTTTTTCTTTTGTCTCTGGCACAATTTGCAGAAAAAAAAAAAATAAATAAACGCTCACGAAATCGACAAGAAAAAAATGACCCTCATTTGGCTGCCGTCTTTTTTTCTTTTTTTTGGTGTCAAAAGAATTTTTTTCGTTGAAAAACTGTGAGTTTTCCCTCGTCTGTGTTCTCGCACTCACGGAGAAACAAAAGGAGGAGGAAAAACTTATGAATTCATGTCCTTCTAATTGAAATGCCAGTCCGCCCTCCTGTGGAATACGTGAGTGCTCGGCCTTGCAATCCGCAGTGTTCAAATCATCTCATATTTATTGATTCGCAGCGTTTTTAGTTGTTTTTTTTTTAGAAACTTTTTGGAACGAATGTGCGAGTTGTGGGGGCGAATTTTGATGGTGCTGCGCGGGAAGGTGGCGGCTGCGGTTTCTTTCTGTCGTCCCACCCGCCTCCTTCATTGCGCTTCACGCGGTGCAGGGGAGTCCGGCGGCTAAAAGGGGCACTAAATTAAGGCTGCAGCTTTGCTACTTTACGACGAGTTTGGCTATTCTCGATTTATTTCTCTGATGGCTTTTGTTGCGTGTGTATGAGTGCTGGATAATTTTTCTTTGGAGCGCGTTGATGCAGAGCGATGTGTGATTAAATTGTCTTCTCCCATTTTGTTGTGTTTTCCTCCTCTCACATTTCTGAGGATAAGACGCCAACGACCTCATCTAAGCACATGCTCGTTTCTTTTTTTTCTTTTTATTCCTTTTACGTTTGAAGAAAATGGACGTTTCCGCTTTTCTGAAGGAGTTTAAGAGGGCGAGGAAGGAATCTGGCGGCAGCGTTCCTTTTGGTGGCGAGGAGAGCGCGGGTGCCGCAGGTATAACAAACGCATTTTCACAAAACGCAACATCAAGTTGACGGATTTTATCTCCGGATGACTCGGGGGAAAGTGAGCAGAACATCAGCGATCGTGAAGCCGAAGATGCGCCGCCTTCATATCTCTGAGAAGCAAGAGGCAACGGTGTGATGCATTTTGGCGGCGCACGCAAGAGGGAGGTTTGGGCTGTACACGCGTGTCTTTTACAGAGATAAAAACGTACCGGACGAATCAGTGTCTAAAGACGGACAGCAGCATCCCCAATGCGACAGTTCGGAGGGTAACTCACTCCATTCCTTTACGAGTAGCAGCCAAGAGGGGTGGCACGTCAACCGTTAATAAACTACGTGATGAGCTCTTGCGGAAAAAGAACTCTCTCAGTCAATCATTGGTGGTGAGGGAGCATACAGGCGGTTGTTGTGCGGATGATTCTCGGGAGTGTGCATTGAGCACAGGCGCTGAGGGATTTCTTTTCTGTGCAGATGATCTTGTTGCCCCTGAAAACACGACTATGGATCAGTCTCTTTTTTCGGTTGGGGATCGTGCGGCAAAACTGCAAGCCAAAAATGAGGGTGATGTGGCCACAGCCACACCGAAATATTCCACGGAAGAGCAGCAGTCTTCTTCTCTTCCTCCTCCTCTTCCTCCTGTTGAGGCGGAAGTGTGCCATGAGAAACCCAGGACTGAAAGAGTGAGTTTGTTCGCTCGAGCAAAGATGTACTCTGGTGCGACTGCCCCTGCTGGGAATAGGGAGTCAGAAGTCTTAAATACGAGAAAGTTTTTGAAATAATTAGATTCTGACGTGGAGAAAACAATAACTACCACTACAACAAAAAATGGATTCATTTGAGATAAATTGGAGTTCTTTCAGTTTCCATGCATTTGCTCATTAGGGAGGGGCATTGAGAATGATCTTTGGGTGCGGTGGGATTTTGGCATCACCGGAGTCGATTTTTTGTGTTCCATTTATATTTTCACGATGCCGTAGAATGGAGGAGAGGGGTGAAGAAGAGAAAAAAAGAAGAGAGAGGTGGTCGCTTGACATGGATCGTTTTATTATTGGACCCCCAATTGGTGAGGGCCGCTTTGGCGTCGTTCGTGCTGCAGTTGTTAAGGAATCTGGAATGCCAGCCGCAATCAAATTCGTCACAACTCCACGTCTCGATGAGGGTATTCCGCATCCCACAGCGAGGGAACTACTTGTTGCAATGCGATTGGTGCATCCTTTTGTTATTCGGAAATATGAGGTAGTTCCGTGTGGCTGCTCCTTGGCGTTAGTGATGGAGCGTTGCAAGACTGACTTGGCAACAGTCCTCTCAGGGAGAACTGCCAGCAATCCTCTGCCCGCGTTAGAGGCAAAGTCTTTATTTAAAATGCTTCTTTTGGCGTTAGCGTACATACACAGCGAGGGTGTTCTTCATCGAGATGTGAAACCTTCAAATTTTTTCTTGACTGCGGAGGGGGAACTACGTCTCGGCGACTTTGGACTAAGTCGTGTATGGGATACGGAAGCATCCATGACTCACGAAGTCGCTTCGAGGTGGTACCGAGCTCCCGGGTTACTTCTGGGCCAGCGACACTACGGACCCGAAATTGATGTGTGGTCATCAGGGTGCGTATTTGCGGAACTTCTACGGGGGTACAGTGGTGCTTTTTTTGCAGGCGATGGAGATATTTGGCAGTTGTCACGAATATTTGATGTATTATTGACACCGACGCCCACATCGTGGCCATCGGCGGTGCTGCTTCCCGATTGGGGAAAGGTGCACTTTGAGCCGAAGCGTCCTCTTCCTCTCCGTGAATTTTTCCCGGATGCCTCTGAATGTGCATTGGATTTGTTGCGAAGATTACTTTGCCTGGATCCTCAAGAGCGTTTGACTGCGGCTGGCGCCCTTCGTCACGCCTACTTTAGTGAATACCCAACGTGAAGGTCCATGGATAAAGGGACGCGGGGGCTATATGTGGTGTGCGGGGATGAAAATTGGAATTGCTCATATAAATGCGTGCTTATTTTCCTTGACAATCCTTTTTGGTTGTTATTGTTATTTTAATGGGTTATTATTATTATTTTGATTATTGTTTAAATTTATTTTTATTTTTTAATTATATTTTTTATTTGTTCTTGTGGATTTTTAACTGTGAAGCCCAATTTTTTTCCAAAGTAAAAGAAAACTAACGCGTGTGCGAGAGAGAGAGAGAGAAGGAGGGTGACGAGCACATATCTAACATAATAATGTATCGTTGCTTCCATCATTTCTCCACGTTGCCACTGGCGTTTGTACGACGGACTGCTACAAACAGTTACGTCAATCGCCATATTGGACCATCAGCGGCAGAATCAATTTCTATGCTTCGAATAATTGGCAAAGAAAGTCTGTCGGACCTCATGACTGCTGCGATCCCAGAGAATATTTTGCGAAGTCCTTTAAAAGAGGCTCCGGCGATGAGCGAGCAGGATGCCGTTTCGCTTCTCCATTCACTGGGTTCACGGAATAAGGTATTAAAGAGCATGATTGGGCAAGGATACTATGAGCCAGGGCACACCACCTGTTTTTTTTTTTTTTTTTTTTTTTCTGCTCTTACCAGTCGTAGTAACTACACCTCAATTGTGCAGCTCTGGTAAGCGTACGAAGGAATTCAGTAGCAAGGATAACCTTACTCCGCGGGCAGCCATTATAGAATGGCTCCAACATCTGCCCTTCCGGCCCGTAAAACTAAGTAACAACTACTCATCGGGTTTGAAGCATGAACAGCAGGCGCTTAGCTTCCTCTCTAGCAAAGAGTACTAGACCCTGGCACCACGTTGAGGTGGCCGGCTGAGCCAGGGCACACCACCTGTAATACTTCGTAACGTTATCGAGAATCCTGCATGGCACACCCCATACACTCCTTTCCAGGCTGAAATATCTCAAGGCCGTCTAGAGTCCCTGTTGAATTTTCAGTCCATGATTATAGACTTGACAGCTATGAATTTGGCAAATGCATCTCTTCTTGATCAGGCTACTGCATGTGCTGAGGCAATGCACCTTGCCTTTCATCACGGTCGAAAGGAGCGTATGACCTTTTTTTATTATCGAGGGATGCCTTCCCATCTTGCGTAGAGATGGTGAAAACGAGAGCTGAGCCCATTAAAATAAAGGCCGTTGTTGGTGATCCAAATTTGATTGATTGGAGCGATTCCTCACTTTGTGGAATTTTGGTACAAACTCCAGATGCCATGTGGATGCTTCATGATTTTACGACACTGTTTGAGAAGGCAAAGCAACATGGTGTCGTCAGTTGTTGTGGGACGGATTTGATGGCTTCTGTTCTTCTCAAACCTCCGGGAGAAATGGGAGCCGATGTT